CATTAAGCTGACAGGCCGTTAATCTAACCGAGCTCATTCACTCACTCAACTTTAAAACAAATCGTAAATATTCACAACAAATATCTATGTTTCAGATGACTAAATCCAGCACTATCTTTTTGGCTGCCCTTGTAGCCGTCACTCTGATGATGACGTCAGCAATGCCAGCTCGGCCGCCACATGGAACAGTCAGACGTCACGCATGCGCGTACAAGTGTCTGGAAAAGACTGCCGCGTGTCTAGAACTGCGCGGGTGTCTGAAGCCCACAATGGAGGGAAAAAAGCGGGAGTGTTTCGAGCCATGCCGGACCGAATACAAGACGTGTGTCCTGCCTTGTTTTAACCCGGAGATTGAGATTCGAACCCGGGTTTTCACTCCAGCTCGACAGAGTAGCACAGCAATGCTGTAGAACAGTTGTAATCGAAAAGATTCAGTGTATAGATGAGCTGAATAACCGGCACGTGTCTGTCGCCAATATGACAACTTGACAAGGCGAGGAAACGACAGACGACATTCTACAATCGTAGTATTGTCAGACAGGAAGTGTGACGTCATCATCAATGGTCGGAGGAAATGACGTCACAAAACATTTGTCTCCATTTAGTTGACTCCAGCATGTGAATGCCGTGCGCGTTGTGTTTCCCCGTGTGATGCTTGTTTCCAAGTGTGTGTTGTTGTTGTTGTTGTTCAACAGTCCAATTGAATGAATCCTTGAGAGGAGGAAACGTAGCGTGACCAGCTTAGTGGCGTGACTTCTAAACTTGACGACAAGCTACAATGGCTATTTGTTGTCAATATTAGGTCATCTAATGAACGCCTTGGCGCTTTTGGGTGTTGTAAAGTAGAGAAACAACGACTGTGTGTTGATGAACGGCTGTGAACGCACGTTAACAGGAAGTTCATAGGATTTATGTTCGTTTACACTGTTAACATTGTGTTTAATTTAGAGTCGTTGACTATTTTGAGTTGATCGGTACTGGTGAATAAAGTTGTTGATCATACTATTAGTTTGACGTGTTATCAATTTAAGTGAAATTTGCGGTTCAAGGTTTGACACTGCTTTTAACAGCATTTCAACTGTGCTGAACATATGCTTTGGGGGATATTTTCATTATTATTGTTTTTGCTCAGTATTCACTACAAAAATAATATCCCTTAAAATATTCATGATCCCATGTTTTGTTCAGTGGATATTACACGCCGGTGAGTCAGACAAGGGTAGATAACTCTGTAACACCGGTGAGCCAGACAAGGATAGATCACTCTATAACACCGATGCCAGACAAGGATAGATAACTTAATTTGTAACACCGGTGAGCCAGGCAAGTGTGGATAACTCTGTACCACCGGTGAGCCAGACAAGGATAGATAACTCTGTAACACCGGCGGACCAGGCAAGGATAGATAACTCTGTAACACTGGTGAGCCAGGCAAGGGTAGATAACTGTAACTACGGTGAGCCAGGCAAGTGTAGATAATTCTGTAACACCGGTGAGCCAGGCAAGTGTAGATAACTCTTTAACACTGGTGAGCCAGGCAAGGGTAGATAACTGTAACTACGGTGAGCCAGGCAAGTGTAGATAATTCTGTAACACCGGTGAGCCAGGCAAGTGTAGATAACTCTGTAACACTGGTGAGCCAGACAAGGATAGATGACTATGTAACACCGGTGAGCAAGGCAAGTGTAGATAACTCTGTAACACTGGTGAGCCAGACAAGGATAGATAACTCTGTAACACCGGTGAGCCAGGCAAGTGTAGATAACTCTGTAACACCGGTGAGCCAGACAAGGATAGATAACTCTGTAACACCGGTCAGCCAGGCAAGGATAGATAACTTTATCACGCTGGTCAGCCAGACAAGGATAGATAACTCTATGATGCTGGTGAGCAAGACAAGGATAGATAACTCTATCACGCTGGTGAGCAAGACAAGGATAGATAACTCTATGACGCCGGTCAGCCAGACAAGGATAGATAACTCTATCACGCTGGTGAGCAAGACAAGGATAGATAACTCTATGACGCCGGTCAGCCAGACAAGGATAGATAACTGTATGATGCTGGTGAGCCAGACAAGGATAGATAACTCTATCATGCCGGTGAGCTAGACAAGGAAAGATAACTCTATCACGCTGGTGAGCCAGACAAGGATAGATAACTCTATCACGCCGGTCAGCCAGACAAGGATAGATAACTCTGTAACATGGTGAGCCAGACAAGGATAGATAACTCTATGATGCTGGTGAGCCAGACAAGGATAGATAACTGTATGATGCTGGTGAGCCAGACAAGGATAGATAACTCTATCAAGCCGGTCAGCCAGACAAGGATAGATAACTGTATGATGCTGGTGAGCCAGACAAGGATAGATAACTCTATCAAGCCGGTCAGCCAGAAAAGGATAGATAACTCTATCACGCCGGTCAGCCAGACAAGGATAGATAACTCTATCACGCTGGTGAGCAAGACAAGGATAGATAACTCTATCACGCCGGTGAGCTAGACAAGGATAGATAACTCTATCATGCCGGTGAGCTAGACAAGGAAAGATAACTCTATCACGCTGGTGAGCCAGACAAGGATAGATAAATCTATGACGCCGGTCAGCCAGACAAGGATAGATAACTCTGTAACATGGTGAGCCAGACAAGGATAGATAACTCTATGATGCTGGTGAGCCAGACAAGGATAGATAACTCTATCACGCTGGTGAGATAGACAAGGATAGATAACTCGATCACGCTGGTGAGCAAGACAAGGATAGATAACTCTGTGACGCTGGTCAGCTTGACAAGGATAGAAAACTCTATCACGCCGGTCAGCCAGACAAGGATAGATAACTCTATCACGCCGGTCAGCCAGACAAGGATAGATAACTCTATCACGCCGGTGAGCCAAGCTCCTCACAGCGATAACCCGTTCGCGGAGCTCTCTATACTATCGCTGCCACTAGTCAAAACTCCCTACTGTGAATAGGTGGCCACAACCATGCTTGGAGTTGAACTCGCAACCGAATGACCGTTTTGGTTACAAACAAGTGACGCCTGTCGTGACGCCGAATACACTTATCGCTGCTAAATTACTTTCTTCGTTTGTCAATTTGAATTTCTGTTTCATTAAAACTATCATGTTATTGATATAGTAAGATGTAAGGGAGAAGTTGGTTGATTTTCCGTTATTCTGCAATCTCGAACCAATCTGATTATTAAAACAACAAAGTAAATTCATCTGGAAAACATGGTCAGTCGTAAACCTTTTCACAATAAAAATATGATGGCATTCCCAAAGACATAAACAAAAGTATCAACGTTACTACATTTGGGGTTTGAGGGCAAATTTCAAGATTCTTGTAATGGCCGCGCCCACACTGATGGCCGTGATGTCACCGAGAGTGTAACGAAGGTGTCACGCGCTGGGAAGGAGCTTGCCGGTGAGCTAGACAAGGATAGATAACTCTATGACGCCGGTCAGCTTGACAAGGATAGATTACTCTATAACTACGGTGAGCAAGGCAAGGGTAGATAACTCTGTCGTGCTGGTGAGCCAGGCAAGGACAGATAACTCTGTAACACTGGTCAACTTGACAAGGATAGATAACTCTATAACGCCAGTCAGACAGACAAGGTTAGATAACTCTATAACGCTGGTGAGCTATACAAGGATAGATAACTCTGTAACACCGGTCAGCCTGACAAGGGCAGATAACTCTATAACGCAAGTGAGCCATTCAAGGTGAGATAACTCTGTAACACCGGTCAGCCTGACAAGGATAGATAACTCTATAACGCCGGTGAGCCATACAAGGATATAAGACTATAACGCTTGTAAGCCGGGCAGGAGATAACTCTATAATTCCTGTGATCCAGACAAGGATAGATAACTCTTTAACACCGGAGAGCCAAATATGGACAGATAACTCTGTAATTCTCTGTAATTCCTGTGAGCCAGACAAGGATAGATAACTCTTTAACACCGGAGAGCCAAATATGGACAGATAACTCTGTAATACTGGTGAGCAAGACAATATTTACCACCGAGATGAAACCCACGAGCATAATATGGTGGTGGCAAACACAAATACTCGGTGCTGAAGACCGCTATGCAGAGTTGTGTCCCTTAGCTACGCCAGGACTAGCTGTCGCAAGTTCAATTACCAAAATTGCACCGATTATGAACCGAACCCGAATTCTGTATGCTATGTGGCTGGTCTGACTATTACTACTGGTCCTTTTCCATTTGACATGTTACCCGTGAAGATCCGGGGTAGAATAGGTCTTCAGCAACCCATGCTTGCCGTAAAAGGCGAATTTGCTTGTCGTTAGAGGCGACTAACGGGATCGGGTGGTCAGGCTCGCTGACTTTGTTGAAGTATATCACTGACCCAGTTGCGTGGATCGATGCTCATGAAATCAATCACTAGATTGTCTGGTCTAGGCTCGATTATTTACAGGCCGCCGTCATATAGCTGGGATATTGCTGTGTGCGGCGTAAAACAACAAACAAACAAACAAACAAACAAACAAACAAAACAAACAAACCATTTCACATGTATATCATGTTCGACACCAATATTTCCCCGGTCAGTGGATCAGTGTGCACACCAACTTCATTCTCAGCTCCCTGGGGAGTATATAATCCAAAGCGGGACAACAAGGATGGGATTCAGGCATTGTACCCATGTGTTTTGTAAATAAGAAATAAGAAAACAATATTTTGCCAATCTTTATTGAAACTCCAGTGATGAAGCGGATAGTCGTACATAAAATTATTCCAAGATAAACTATATTTGTACTTAAGTATGTAGTTAGTCGGGTAGTATACTCAAAGGGTATTCAACATGTTAATCTCAGTGGTAACACATACAATGATCGGCATTGTGCAGAGTTGCGTCCCTTGGGCACGCCAGAAACCTATGATTGTGGGTTCGAATCCATGTTCGCCCCCATTATGTTTCTAGGTTTGTCAGCACCATACCCGTGCTAGTGGGTTTCACCGAAGTGGTAAACGTCTGAGACCTGCTTTACTTCGGGCTTTCCTCCCACATTAAGCTGGCACGCCGTGATATAAATTGAATACTGTTAAAAGCGGCGTTAAACCCAACTCACTCACTCACTCACTCAATGATCGAAATTGAACTTCCGGTTTGTGTCGAAAGCCGTAGCGGCCTGAACCTTACGTATTTACTATTACATGCAACGTTAACCATATCTGTCTCGAATGCCTCGATATATCGAAGTCTTTCTGGCCCTTAAGGAACCCCTTAATTTGTATCTTTATCAACATTGGTCTCGAATGTCTTTATATATCGAAGTCTCCCTGGCCCGGAATCACTTACATTTGAACATTAACTTGGTCTGTCTCGAATGTTTTGGTATATCGAAGACCTATGAACCATGCAAGTTCCTTCTTCATGCGCCACTAATTATAACTCGAACACTTCCGCACGTTTCTGTAACCTGACCAGTCTGAAGATTGTCGAAGCTCATCCCTCCGTAAATCGAAAGCATTCTGGAAGAGTCAGGACCTATGTCTCGAATACCTTGATATATCGATGCTTTGCTCGAACCCATAACTTTTATCGTACGGAAAACCTACCACATCAACTGCGTCCAATCACCGTTACCTTACTGAATAAATAATTATTTAAATTGCACAATGCGAAAAACAAATACTGGACACTGTCTCGCAATTTCACCATCACCATTGGTGGATCACATATGACCTTGACCTGATCAACTGACCAATCACTCTTCACTAAATTTGACAAGTTCTGCGACCGCTCCCATTAGCAGATCAACCGACCAATCATAATTTAGCAACTCTGACAAGCTCGGCGACAGTTATTCCTCACGAAGTCCGATTTACTGCAAATGTGGGGGTCAGCAAACTGACGGCATGAACTCATGATGTCGAAACACCGAGCACCTGGAAAATACAACCACGTGTGTAACACAAGTTAGTGGATATAACGATGCATTGTTTGGGCGTTAAGGATTTTAATGACACTATTTACGACAATCACAGGTTGGGGTGGTGGAGTAGCCTTGTGGTGAAAGCGTTCGATGTCCCACATGGGTACAATGTGCGAAGTTTTTTTCTGGTGACCTCCGCTGTGATGTTGCTGGAATGTTGCTGAGGGCGACGTAAAACCATACTTACTCACTCCTAGCAGGTAAAGTGTGTGTGTGTGTGTGTGTGTGTGTGTGTGTGTGTGTGTGCGTACATTAACACAGAACTTGTGGCCCTTGTGAGGAATCGAACCAGTCTTCAGCGTGACCAAATAACCCTTTAACCACGAGGATACCCATTGCCTGACATATATTTGAAGGGAAGACGGATGAATTATACAATAGGCCAACGAGAGAAAATAATTCTTTCGCTGGATTTGTTTTCTAGCTGGCACAAATAATATTTTTAGGACAAACTGACGGGCAAAAGAAAGTATACAATTGAAAATTGGGTTTGATTAAAAATACAAACGTTATTAAAACTTTACTCGGGTGAAACACAGCAATACGAAAGCCTTTTAGAGCCATTTTATTTTCTTGAAATTTTAAGATACTAACCTAAAATTTTAAGATGTTATGTTAAAATTTCAAGATAATTAGTTGAAATTTCAAGATACATAAGCTGAAATTTCAAGATAATGATCTTGAAATTTCAAGATACTACGTTGAAATTTTAAGATACAGTATCTTGAAATTTCAACTTAGTACCATGAAATTGCAAGTTAGTATCTTGAAATTTCAGGATAGTACCGAATTTAAAAAAACAAACCAAATGGCCCTAAAAGACTTCCAAATAGCAAAGATACCTGTATCAAGTACATCTCCATCGTATAACCATATCTTGTTTGTTTCAGTTTTAGCCGCCATGGATGTCTACTTTCTTTTGCCCAGTGGTTTACAGTTTCAGATACAGTTTCATGTTGTTTAACGCCGCACTCAGCAATATTCCAGCTATATGACGGCGGTCTGTAAATAATCGGGTCTGGACCAGACAATCCAATGATAGACATCATGGGCATCGATCCACGCAATTGGGATACGATGACATGCATCAACCAAGTCAGCGAACCTGACCACCCGATCCCGTTAGTCGCCTTTTACGACAAGCATAGTCGCCTTTTACGGCAAGCATGGGTTGCTGAAGACCTATTCTACCCCGGATCTTCACGGGTTCAGCGGTTTACAAATAAAATGTAAAAGTCACTACAGCATCCGGTGCCTCTAAACCTAAGCAGTATACCGAATTCTAAACCCCCCATGAAATACACTGGGGGAGTCGTGTTTCTTTTGATTTTTCAACGAATTGTTACTCTGCAACTGAAATAACGCTAAGGTGATCGAAACTCCCATACTTTACATAGCGTGACGTTCGTTCTGTACTCTGTAATTATATGAAGATCCGGGGAAGAATAGGTCTTCAGCAACCCATACTTGCCGTAAAAGGCGACTATGCTTGTCGTAAGAGGCGACATATGCAAATGTTTACACCATTAACATGTATCATATTTAATATTGACATTACTCACCACGTGTTCCCTGACCTGAAGCAGCATCAGTTGGCCTCGATGCTCCCGTAGACCTCATCGTGCCAGTGCGACCTCGATTTTGACCTCGAATCTGGCCTTGTCTTAATGGCCACTGTCCGTCCCTTGGCGCGGCTCTCTCTCGTTGTGAATTCATAAGTTTTACTTTGATGCGATGGACTGTCTGTCGTTCTTGAACGCTTGGTTGGACACGCCTTTGTTGTCCTCGGGGAACGGAAGCCTCCAGCCTTATTGGTCTTCTGGATCTAACCAATTCTGGATTTCGTCGCCTGATCTGAGGTATTTGACGTCCAGCTAGATTCTCTCGTGGGCCATTTCGCCTGAATTGACGCCTTTGACTTGTTGGAAAACGCTGAGGTTGAGATTGCTGGCGAGAATACATTTGAGATCGCTGCTGCGGCCATGGCTGAAGGCGTTGAGGTTGTGGTTGAGGTTGGCCCTGTCTTTGAGTTAGTGTTTGGGGTTGAGTTTGTATTTCTGGTGAAATTTGTCTTTGGGGTTGAGGTTGCTGTTGAGGTTGCGGTTTCGGTTGTGGTTGTGGTTGTGGTTGAGGTTGTGGCTGTGGTTGTGGTGGATTATTAACACTCAACAGTTGTGGTTGAGGTTGGACCTGTCTTTGGGATAGTGGTTGGGGTTGAGTTTGAAATTGTAATTCTGGTGAAATTTGTCTTTGGGGTTGAGGTTGCTGTTGAGGTTGCGGTTGTGGTTGTGGTTGTGGTGAATTATCAACACTCAACTGTTTTGGTTGAGGTTGGACCTGTCTTTGGGATAGTGGTTTGGGTTGAGTTTGTAATTGTAATTCTGGTGAAATTTGTCTTTGGGGTTGAGGTTGCTGTTGAGGTTGTTGTTGTGGTGAATTATCAACACTCAACAGTTGTGGTTGAGGTTGGACCTCTCTTTGGGATAGTGGTTGGGGTTGAGTTTGTAATTGTATTTCTGGTGAAATTTGTCTTTGGGGTTGAGGTTGCTGTTGAGGTTGTGGTTGTGGTTGTTGTGAATTATTAACACTCAACAGTTGTGGTTGAGGTTGTGGTTGAGGTTGTGGTTGAGGTTGTGGTTGAGGTTGGCTTTGTGGCTGTTGTGGACTATGAAAACTCATCAACTGTGATTCAGTTTGTGATTGTTTTTCTGGTGGAATCTGTCTTTGTGTTTGCGGTTGTGGTTGTGGTTGTGGTTGTGGGTTTGGTTGTGGTGGACTAGGAAAACTCAACCGTTGTGGTTGAGTTTGTGGTTCTTGTTGAGTTTGGAGTTGTGGTTGTGGTTGTGGTTGTGGTGGAGTTTGAGTTTCATTTCCAGACTGAGGCTGAACTCGTGGTGGCTGTTGGGAATCCAAAAACTGTAATTGAGACTGCAAGTTTGATTGTGGTTCTTGGGGATTTATCTGTTGCAATGGTTCTGGCTCTTCTGGTTGCGTTTGCGTTTGCGTTTGCGGTTGGGGTTGCGGTTGCATCTGTTGTGGCCCTGGCTGTTTTTGTGGCTGTGGTCGTTGGAAGCTACCTGCAGCCCATGGCGCGGAAGGCGATGGCATGCGTCCACTGATTTCTTTGACAGCATCATGGAGGGCTGAGAGAATCACGTCACCGGGAATGTGAAACCTGAAATGTTCCTCTGGTGCGTTCGGTACCTGACTTCGTTGCGCTGGTCTGTTGAACGGACCGTTTCTTGAAGCCTGGGCGTCTGGCCGTCTTGGGTATACCTGACCAGGAACCTCGGTTCTCTGTGCTTGTCGGTTGGCATAGGGCCCGTATTGTGGTCTAGGATCTTGCTTTACAACTGACTGAAGTCTTCTTTCCACACCACGACGACCAGTTCTTCCGAGACTTAGGCTTCGCCTGCTCGAACTTGAAGGGTAACCTGCTGGTATGGAAGGTTGCCCAACCCGGCCCGGCGGGTAGCGAGCCGTCATTGAAGGTCGTCCAGCCGGATTTGGCATGTATTGGGATGTGACTGGTTGTTGCCTCTCTGAGTTCGAAGGGTAGCGCGATGTCATTTGAGGTTGTCTTACTGGATTTGACGATTTGGAAGGTTGACTGACTGGTTTTGAAGGGTAGCGTGCTGTCATGGAAGGTTGTCTAGCTGTATCCGAAGGGTAGCGTGCTGTCATGGAAGGTGGTCTAGCTGTATCCGAAGGGTAGCGTGCTGTCATGGATGGTTGTCTAGCTGTATCTGAAGGGTAGCGTGCTGTCATGGAAGGTTGTCTAGCTGTATCTGAAGGGTAGCGTGCTGTCATGGAAGGTTGTCCAGCTGTATTTGAAGGGTAGCGTGCTGTCAAGGAAGGTTGTCCAGCTGTATTTGAAGGGTAGCGTGCTGTCAAGGAAGGTTGTCCAGCTGTATTTGAAGGGTAGCGTGCTGTCATGGAAGGTTGTCCAGCCGTATCCGAAGGGAAGCGTGCTGTCAAGGAAGGTTGTCCAGCTGTATCTGAAGGGTAGCGTGCTGTCATGGACAGTTGTCCAGCTGTATTCGAAGGGTAGCGTGCTGTCATGGAAGGTTGTCCAGCCGTATCTGAAGGGTAGCGTGCTGTCATGGAAGGTTGTCCAGCCGTATCTGAAGGGTAGCGTGCTGTCATGGAAGGTTGTCCAGCTGTATCTGAAGGGTAGCGTGCTGTCATGGAAGGTGGTCCAGCTGTATCCGAAGGGTAGCGTGCTGTCATGGAAGGTGGTCCAGCTGTATCTGAAGGGTAGCGTGCTGTCATGGAAGGTGGTCCAGCTGTATCTGAAGGGTAGCGTGCTGTCATGGAAGGTTGTCCAGCTGTATCTGAAGGGTAGCGGTCTGTCATGGAAGGTGGTCCAGCTGTATCTGAAGGGTAGCGTGCTGTCATTGAAGGTTGTCCAGCTGTATCTGAAGGGTAGCGTGCTGTCATGGAAGCTTGTCTAGCTGTATCCGAAGGGTAGCGTTCTGTCATTGAAGGTTGTCCAGCCGTATCTGAAGGGTAGCGTGCTGTCATGGAAGGTCGTCCAGCTGTATCTGAAGGGTAGCGTGCTGTCATGGAAGCTTGTCCAGCTGTATCTGAAGGGTAGCGTGCTGTCATAGAAGCTTGTCTAGCTCTATCTGAAGGGTAGCGTGCTGTCATGGACGGTTGTCTACCTGTATTTGAAGGGTAGCGTGCTGTCAAGGAAGGTTGTCCAGCTGTATCTGAAGGGTAGCGTGCTGTCATGGAAGGTTGTCCAGCTGTATCTGAAGGGTAGCGTGCTGTCATGGACGGTTGTCCAGCTGTATCTAAAGGGTAGCGTTCTGTCATGGAAGGTTGTCCAGCTGTATCTGAAGGGTAGCGTTCTGTCATGGAAGGTTGTCTACCTGTATTTGAAGGGTAGCGTGCTGTTAAGGAAGGTTGTCCAGCTGTATCTGAAGGGAAGCGCGATGTCAAGGAAGGTTGTCCAGCTGTATTTGAAGGGTAGCGTGCTGTCATGGAAGGCTGTCCAGCTGTATCTGAAGGGTAGCGTGCTGTCATGGAAGGTTGTCCAGCTGAATCCGAAGGGTAGCGTGCTGTCATGGAAGGTGGTCCAGCCGTATCCGAAGGGTAGCGTGCTGTCATGGAAGGTTGTCTAGCTGTATCTGAAGGGTAGCGTGCTGTCATGGAAGGTTGTCCAGCTGTATCTGAAGGGTAGCCCGCTGTCATGGAAGCTTGTCCAGCTGAATCCGAAGGGTAGCGTGCTGTCATGGAAGGTTGTCTAGCTGTATCTGAAGGGTAGCGTGCTGTCATGGAAGGTTGTCCAGCTGTAACTGAAGGGTAGCGTGCTGTCATGGACTGTTGTCCAGCTGTATCCAAAGGGTAGCGTGCTGTCATGGACGGTTGTCCAGCTGTATCCGAAGGGTAGCGTGCTGTCATGGAAGGTTGTCTAGCTGTATCTGAAGGGTAGCGTTCTGTCATGGAAGGTTGTCCAGCTGTAAATGAAGGGTAGCGTGCTGTCATGGACGGTTGTCCAGCTGAATCCGAAGGGTAGCGTGCTGTCATGGAAGGTTGTCCAGCTGTATCTGAAGTGTAGTTGGCTGTCATGGAAGGTTGTCCAGCTGTATCTGAAGTGTAGTTGGCTGTCATTAGAAGTGAAGTTGAAGGTGTAGGTTGTCCAACTAAATCTGAAGGGTACTGTGATGTCTTGGAACGATTTCTAACCAGATCTGAAAGGTAGAGATGCGTAACAGAAGGCCCTCCGAGTGTATCTGCTGCTTGCTGGTAGCTTGCTGGTGAAGAAAGATCGATTGTTTGGCTTTTCTCTGGTACCAAGGTTGCAAGTGCAGCAGAAATGTTTGCCGTGGACATAAAAATTACCTCATTCTGCCCCTGTGTTTGGCGATCGGTCACCTTCAGAATGGGTTTATCTGGTTGACCTTGAGGTTTCTGGCTGCCCAACCAAGGGTTGCTTCCAATGAGGTTAGCAGCTTCTTCTGCCTCGACAGGGGGGTCGGTTCTATTGGCTGAAGCTGTGTAGGAATGAAACGGTACATACGTCCCTGAAAACCCTGTGGTGTCGGATTTAAGAGGCTCGCTACTTTCGCAGGACACTGAAGGTTTAGGGCAGACACATTTGCAGCTCGGGCCTTGGTACCCCCCATTGATACACGTCACACGGCGAGGGCAAAACTCTGGAATGAAAATAATAAATTAAGATGCTAGAAGATAATAACAGTTTAGTGTTAAGGAGTTTTAGATATATACAACCCAACAGGTTAACGAAAAACAACAATGGAAAGGTTGTGTGTTGCAATACCAACAGTGAAACAATTTGGTGTTCTTCAACTTTTTCAAGTAGCATAATACAACTGTTGATAATGATGCTGTTATCTCTTGTTGTATGTATATAGAAGGGAGACAACCCCACACAGATAATTGCTTAATCAATTAACGTTCGATCAGCGGAATTTTCAAGCGGTTCTTCGATTGAAAATAGCTTTCAATATTTCTTAGAATGGGTTAGTTATAATTCAATAAAATATATTCATTCAACAATGTTTGTGGGGAGAGGGACGCATAATTGAGGCACACTTTTTTCCAAATTGTGTACTCTTGAGTCTATTTAAACAAACGGGATTTCATTTTAATTAAATTCAATGCCTATCAGTGTGTACTATATTCCTTTTGATTGACGGAATTATCGGAGTGTCAAGAGGGACTGGCTATTTGATATTCTGACAAAGTGAAAAAAATCAATCAGAATCCACGTCTTATATCACTTATAGTTGCTTCAAACAAAATGGGAGCGCCCAGTAAAGACAATCTGATCGATAATCAAGGTTTCTGATGTAACAAAACGGGTCTGACCTCGCGAAGTGCATTAAATCATTTGAAAAATTTGATCAAAAACATGAACAGATTTGAAAAATATATGTCGACATACACATGCTTTGCAAATCCTGCAGTCGACGAAAATCTGCACGTTAAACCGGCTGTCTAGTTCGTTGCGCGGTTTTGATTGGACTATGCATAGACTCGTTAATCCAGACAAAGTGTAACCCCGGAATTCCAGCCTAGTTCGGCAAGGAATGAAACTGGACTTAGTCAGTTAACTCCACTGCCTCAGGAAGATAGAAAATACTTGAAACTAATGGTGCCTCACTATTAGATTTTATGGAAAAGAAAGAAAATTATGACACTCTGAATGAAAAAAAAGGTTTTGGAAAAGATAATTCAGCTCTTTCCTTCCGAAAACAATGTAGGTCTTCACGCAGTGGTGGAAAAAGTATTGCCTCTCAACACAAATACCCAAAATCAAAGGTAATGGTTTCTGATCTATCACAAGCAGTTCGCGAAGATGCCCTCAGAGTTATCGTTCTTTGCTATTCCGACAGGGGGCTCTACCAACCTGCACACTTGTACATAAGGTTGATGGACTTTATGTCTGTGAAGGACAACGACTCTACCCGGCCAATCACATCCTGGTATTTTGGATCAAGGGTCTTGATTGTCACCTTTTTTCCATCGATGGAGAAGAACTGAAGGAGAACAAGGTTGATGAATACAATAATACTGACACAGCGGCGAGGCCCACTGGAAACAGTTTAGTCCAAATGATTTTCAAAATTTAAGTGAGTGAGTGAGTGAGTGAGTTGGGTTTAACGCCGCTTTTAACAGTATTACAGTTATATCACGGCGTGTCAGCTTAATGTGGGAGGAAAGCCCGAAGTGATGCATGTCTCAGACGTTTACCACTTCGGTGAAACCCACGAGCACGGGTATGGTGCTGACAAACCTAGAAACATAATCGGGGCGAACCGGGATTCGAACCCACAATCATAGATTTCTGGCGTGCCCAAGGGGCGCAACTCTGCACAGCGAATCGCGGCGCCTTAGACGACTGGGCCAAAAGCTTGACATCGAAATATATAATGGAATTCATCAGCTGTTGCCGGGGAGTTACAGAGAGAACCTAGACGTTGTTCTCTGGGTACATTATTCCAGCGGCCAGTCTCGACTGGTAAATTGTGGTTATTAAAGTACTCATGGAAATGAAAAAAACCCTGTTTTGCTGGATTTAATGATCGACACAAAGCATTACGTAGATGTAAATACGAAATAACAAAACAACTGGAAAAGTACTAGTCTGGATTTGCTAGTTTTATCTCAGTGCTCAATACAAAATGTACTTTACAGGAGATAATTTGTAGGCACTTTCAACATTCAAAAATAAAACTAAGTCCAAATTGACATGGCAGAAACAGGCTATAGGCATTATGCAGATTAGCCTGGAAAAAAGTGATCAAAACAACAATAAAAATAACAGCTATGTTTATGTACATAATAATAATGACATGTAAGTTGTTGTTTGAGAAGGGAACATGTTACTTTTACGTTCTGATATTTTGACGATGATTCACTATCCCACAATGCCACTCACAAATCACTAACCACTGACAAATCACATGCACGTGGGTTTCAAGCACCTGTTTTCACCTGTCGTCAAGGTGTCATAGGTCATGGACATTCACCTTGATCTACTTACACCTGGTTATGCTCAGTTTCACAATAGTCTGTTTTGTTCATATTTTTACACACTTTTACGTGTAAAAAGACATAAAAACCTTTGATACGCTGTATTTGTGCCAAGGCCGAATTAGTGCTAATTGAGTTGTTTGAATATTTATATATTTTGCATATTAACTGCATTTATTTAAAAAATCTGAGATCGAAAAACAGGTTTTTTTCATTTACGTGAGTATTATAGTGCGAAATTTTAAGAGCGGGTAATTAACAGATTTAGGTAGGTAGAGATAGTTTTCAAATATTGGCACTTCTTTAAGATATTTATAATAGAAACCTTTTGGACTCGACAATATTGAACTTCTCCAGGATTGTAGAAAATGATCGGTCAATTTTCTTTCCACAGACGAGACTAGCCACTTGGTGTTAAAATTACATGGCATATCATAAACTTGGATCAGGCCACAGGAGCTTAATAAACATTCTAAATTACATAACCAAGGCTGAATATTGGAGTTTACGTTAGCATCCATCCTAATGAATTAATACATCAGAGTCGAAAACTTATTTTGTTGAGATCGTATAATATGTCTATGCCAGGTCTATCAATAGCTCCCCGGCCGCGTCATTCCAAAAGACGTTAAAAGGTGGTACTTGTTGTCGCCATGCCTGACGCTCGGCATTAAAGGGCTAAAACAAAGACTGGTCGGCCCGGAGTCAGTATACTGTGTCTGAGTGGGGTTTTCATGTTAAACTGCGGCATGGTCTCAGTGGGCTAGCACTATAAAGCCGGCATCAAGTCCAAACTAGTACAAGCAGCCACACACACACACACGCAAACACGCACGCACGCACGCACGCACGCACACACAGGCGAAGTTCACCTGACGTAGAAGTATTTGTTGTTATTTATTCAGTTACAACCGGATATGGACCTACCGATTTCCCATAATGCATGAGCGACATGTAGTCATACTGGACATCCTCCGTCTCCACCAAGCGTTTGCTGATCATCTTGAACTGTGGCACGAACAACGGCTTGACGCTCGTCATGTTGATGTAGACGTGGTCGTCGCGGTCAGAACGCTGGTGTTCGTGAATAAGGCCTAACGCATGGCCAAGCTCGTGCATAACTACCTTTTTCTGAAATGGGACAAGCGTCGTCATTTTAATATAAGAGGCACCCAAACTCGCAGAGTTGCGTCCCTTAGGCGTGCCAGAAACTTATGATTGTCGGTTCGAATCCTGGTTCGCCCTGATTTAGTTTTTAGGTTTGTCAGCACCACGCCCCTGCTCGTGGGTTTCACCAAAGTGGTAAATGTCAAAGACCTACATCTCTCCTGTACGCGAAGCTTACACTGAATACTGTTAACATCGGCGTGAAAGGAGATCTATTGTTTGTTTGTTTGTTGTTTAACGCCGCACTCAGCAATATTCCAGCTTTATGACGGCGGTCTGTAAGTAATCGAATCTCGACCAGACAATCCAGTGATTGACATCATGAACATCGATCCACGCCATTGGGATACGATGACATGCATCAACCAAGTCACCGAGCCTGACCTACCGATCCCGTTAGTCGCCCCTTACGACAAGCATAGTCGCCTTTTACGGCAAGCATGGGTTACTGAAGACCTATTCTACCCCAATGTTCCAGCTATATGACGGCGGTCTGTAAATAATCGGTAGTGCACCAGGCAAACCAGTGATTGACACCATGAGCATCGATCCACGCATTTGGGATACGGAGGCATGCTTCAGCCAAATATCCGAGCCTGACCACTCGATCTATTTAGCAGCCTCTTCCGACAGACATGCTGGGGGCTTGTATTTTTACCCGGCATGCCTAGGGATCAGACCTACCGTTCTACAGTTTCCTGGTCCGAGTGTAATTTCCTGTTCGCCACCAACCCGACCGATTCGAGAGAAGCATCTGTAAAATAAAAGCCACGTTCTATCATCATTTTATTCTACTTTTTAAAAAGATACTTTCTCGGGCATGATCTGTCTCGTGACTCTAACAGTGAGTGAGTGAGTATGGTTTTTACGCCGCTTTTAGCAATATTCCAGCAATATCACAGCGGGGGACACCAGAAATTGGCTTCACACATTGTACCCATGTCGGGAATCGAACCCGGGTCTTCGGCGTGACGAGCGAACGCTTTAACCACTAGGCTACCCGACCTCCCCCGTGACTCTAACAGACTTACTTAGTGGATTAGAATTCGACGGAACTAAAATATGGCTCTCCGGGAGACGTTTTGTCTGCTGTTTAACGCCGCATTCAGGAGTATTCCAGCTGTATGACGGCGGTCTTTGGGGCGGTCGGGTAGCCTAGTGATTAATGCGTTCGCTCGTCACGCCGAAGACCCGGGTTCGATTCACGCCAGGGTACAATGTGTGAAGCCCATTTATGGTGTCCCCCGCCGTGATATTGCTGGAATATTGCTAAAAGCGGCGTAAAACCATACTCACTCACCCCGTTAGTACCTATTTAAAAACAACGAGGGGGCGTGTGGTAGCCTAGTGGTTAAAGCGTTCGCTCGTCACGCCGAAGACTCGGGTTTGATTCCCAGCATGGGTACAATGTGTGAAGCCCATTTCTGGCGTCCCCGCTTTTGCAATATTCCAGCAATTTCACGGTGGAAGACACCAGAAATGGGCTTCACGCACTGTACCCACATAGGGAATCGCACCCAGCGAACGCATTAACCACTTGGCTACCCGACTACCAGACCACGAATACGGTCCCTGGTATGAGGTTTTGTTTGTTTGTTTGTTGTTAAACGCCGCACTCAGCAATATTCCAGCTATATGACGGCGGTCTGTAAATAATCGAGTCTGGACGAGACAATCCAGTGATTGACGTCATGAGCATCGATCCACGCTATTGGGATCGATGACATGCATCAACCAAGTCAGCGAGCCTGACCACCCGATCCCGTTAGTCGCCTCTTACCACAAGCGTAGTCACCCTTTACGGCAAGCATGGGTTGCTGAAGACCTATTCTACTCCGGATCTTCATCGGGGACAAGTTCGTCACGATATATGGCTGAAATATTGCCGATGTGACGTTAAACTTTAACTCACTCACTCACTCATCGGAGACAAGCATGGGTTGCTGAAGACATATGAGGTTTTGAATATCGTACCCGGATCCGGTGTTGATGACTGCCTTATCCTTGTCTTTGGAATTAGCTGGGCGGAACGTGATGCACGTCTCCTTCTCCCACTCCCTCATGGACGCGTGGATCGTCTCGACTTCTTTGACATCTGGTTAGAGACAAGTGTATGTTAAACAGACGATCTCTTCAACTGTATTATACAGTAAACACCCGAATGATTTCGTCGGGAACGGAATCTTCATGTTTGCAGATGTTTCTCTGTTTTATGTGTGTATGTGTGTACTTGCTTGCGCGTGAGTGCGTTCGTGCTTGTGTGTGTGCGCTTGCTTGCGCGTGAGTGCGTGCATGTGTGCGTGCGTACGTGCGTACGTGTTTGTGTTTGTGTGTGTTTCTGATTTCATCGGGAACGGAATGGTCATGTTTGCAAATGTTGCACTGTTTTATGTGTGCGTGCGTGCGTGCGTGTTTATGTTTGTGCGTGCGTATGTATGTTTCTGTGTCTGTGAGAGAGTGTGTGAGGGTATAACGGTGGTCTGTAACTATTCGGACTAGATAAACCAATGACTGATGTTGTAAGCACCGATCAACGCCCTCAGATTGCGATAAATGTAATCAACCAAGTAACCGAGTCTGACCACCCGATCCATCAAGTCACCACTTACAAACATAGGTTGCTGGGAACCTACTCTAACTCGGAGTATCAGCGTCAGCATCCCGTTAGAGTAGGTCTTCAGCAACCCATGCTTCCTGTAAAAGGCGACTATGCTGGTCGAAAGAAGCGACTAACGAGATCGGGTGGTCAGGCTCGCTGACTTGGCATGCATGTCATCGTATTCCATTTGCATGGAACGATGCTCATGATGTCAATCATTCGATTGTCTGGTCCAGACTCGATTATTTACAAACCGCCGTCATATAGCTGGAATATTGTTTAACGCCGCACTCCAGCTAATATTCCAGCTATATGACGGCGGTCTGTACATGATTGAGTCTGGACCAGACAATCCAGTGATTGATATCATGAGCATCGATCCATCCAACTGGGATCGATGACATGCATCAGCCAAGTCAGCGAGACTGACCACCCGATCCCGTTAGTCGCCTTTTACGACATGCATAGTCGCCTTTTACGGCAAGCATGGGTTGCTGAAGACCTATTCTACCCCGGATCTTCACGGGTCCACTGGCGGAACAACTCACTGAATATCCCTGTTTTAATTTCGTAGGGAATCTCCTTCTCTAACCATCGTGACGACAAGGCGGTCAGGGCTTTCCTCTTCCAGCGTCTCGGACTTCTGAAAACAGTCACAATGTGACAGACGTGACGTCATGGTGGCACAGATTTATTCGGATACCGTAAGCATTTTCGTGTAATATTCAAATAAACAAAAATTATATGTTTACATAGTTATTGTCAACAAACCACCTGTGACTTGTCAATGCCCTGATACCCGATACCCATTGGTTTCAGGGGAGGTAGGGTGGCCTAGTGGTTAAAGTGTTTGCTCGTCACGCAAGGCTTGGGTTCGATTCTTTACGGTGGGGACAATGTCTGTACCCGTTCTGGTGTGCCCCTTTGTGATATTTCTGGGATATTACTAGAACCATACGCACTCACTCACTCATTGGTTTGAAACGTATGTCAATACCCTCGAAGATATAAACACATAATGTCTTCTAAATTGTAGATACAAAACCATGTCATGACAACCGAAGGGTCTAAATATGGAGAAATATTTTCCCCCTATATGCAAATAAGATATTCACACATTGGTGACCGTAAAATCGTATTAAAACGCGGATTTATTCAAAGTGTGGACCTCGTTTTTGACATTTAGACCTCTATAAACGCAAAAAGATACAAGTATTAAAGTCAATTCTTGTATAGACGGGGCGCGGCGGGCCCAGACGTCAAAGGCGCCACAATTGGCTGTTCGATGCTCATGATGTCAATCACTGGATTGTCTGGTCCAGACTCGATTTTTTACGGATATTATATATTGCTGTGTGCGGCAAGAAACAACAAATAAACAAAAAAACAACTTCCTACAATTAAAATTAAAAAGGATAATATCTTGCAATGTTAAAACTCAAGATTACTTGACACGCCCACTAACCATAGTCTTGACATACGTGGAATCCATACCGGTATTATATGTTGTTGTAATATGTACAGCATAGGTGTCCCCACAACCAATGAAACGATCGCGTATATTCTGTACCCGGATGGTGGTTATATCCAATTATCTTGCAGGCCTAGCCGGTCGTGCTGATCAAGCCACGCCTCCTCGTTAGCGCTTTTAAGATTCGTTTTGGCTGTTACAAATGCAGACCTCAAAATACGTTCTTTTGATTAAACGCAACAGCGCCAAATTTACGTTTTCAAACATTTTTTCTCGACCAAAGTATTGAGGTGAGGTGAAATGGGGTTCAATGTCGCGTCTATAATTATTGCACTTATATAGCGACGTGCATGTACGTGTGTGTTTGTGTGGCTGCTTGTACTCGTCCGGACTGATGCCGATTTATAGTGCTAGCTCAATGAGATACCATGCCGCAGTTTAACATGAATACCCCACTCAGATACAATATACCGACTCCGAGCCGACCAGTCCTTGTTTTAGCCCTTTAATGCCGAGCGCCAGGCAGGGAAACAACAAGTACCATCTTTTAACGTATTTTGGTATCACTCGGTCGGGGATCGAACTCCGGACCTACCAGTAGACCAAGGAGGCTGTCAACGCATTGAACATCATACTGGCTACATAGTGATGTAAAAAACATATATTACTATTTTTCATGATACTTTAACACCTCACGCAGCAACATTTAAACTTTATTACGGCGTCTTATTAATAATCGATTCTGGACAAGACCATCCAGTGATTGATATTATGAGCAACGATCCCCACCGTCGGGGTACGATGATACACAATCCATCGAGTCACCAAGCCCGACCACCTGATCTATTAAGCCCCTCTTACCACCAGCATGGGTTGCTGGGGACCAATTCTAGCCCGAATCTCTACGAGGGTTTCACCACTGACGAGTGACCCGTGAAGATTCCGGGGTAGAATTGGTCTTCAGAAACCCTGCTTGCCGCAAAAGGCGTCTATGCTTGTCGTAAGAGGCGACTAACGGGATCGGGTGGTCAGGCTCGTTGATGCACGTCCGTATCCCAATTGGGTGGATCGATGCTCATGATGTCAATCATTGGATTGTCTGACCCAGACTCGATTATTTACAGACCGCCGTCATATAGCTGGAATATTGCTGAGTGCGGCGTTAAACAAAAAACAAACAAACAAACAAACAAACAAGCCAAATCTTTGACGAGTAGCTCACCTTGCATCTAGCGCTCGGTAGTGATCAATCAGCTGCTGTTGTTTGAGGGTCAGACACATATCCATGTCAAGAAGCACCCCACTGCACACTTGCTGTCTGCTCGCATAGGCTGCAACAGTCGGAAACAATAGGTGAGACAACAGGCGGATATGACAGGTGTGACGGACAATAGGCAGATATGACAGGTGAGACAATAAGTGGATATGACAGGTGTGACAATAAGCGGATATGACAGGTGTGACAATAGGCGGATATGACAGGTGTGACAATAGGCGATATGACAGGTGTGACAATAGGCAGATATGACAGGTGTGACAATAGGCGGATATGACAGGTGTGACGGACAATAGGCAGATATGACAGGTGAGACAACAGGCGGATATGACAGGTGTGACAATAGGAAGATATGACAGGTGTGACAATAGGCGGATATGACAGGTGTGACAATAGGCGGATATGACAGGTGTGACAATAGGCGGATATGACAGGTGTGACAATAGGCAGATATGACAGGTGTGACAATGGGCGGATATGACATGTGTGACAATAGGCGGATATGACAGGTGTGACAATAGGCGGATATGACAGGTGTGACAATAGGCAGATATGACAGGTGTGACAATGGGCGGATATGACAGGTGTGACAATAGGCGGATATGATAGGTGTGACAATAGGCGGATATGACAGGTGTGACAATAGGCGGATATGACAGGTGTGACAATAGGCGGATATGACAGGTGTGACGATAGGCGGATATGACAGGTGTGACAAAAGGCGGATATGACAGGTGTGACAATAGGCGGATATGACAGGTGTGACAATAGGCGGATATGACAGGTGTGACAATAGGCGGATATGACAGGTGTGACAATGGGCGGATATGACATGTGTGACAATGGGCGGATATGACAGGTGTGACAATAGGCGGATATGACAGGTGTGACAAAAGGCGGATATGACAGGTGTGACAATAGGCGGATATGACAGGTGTGACAATAGGCGGATATGACAGGTGTGACAATGGGCGGATATGACAGGTGTGACAATAGGCGGATATGACAGATGTGACAATAGGCGGATATGACAGGTGTGACGGGGCGGTCGGGTAGCATGGTGGTTAAAGCGTTCGCTCGGCACGCCGAAGACCCGGGTTCGATTCCCGACATGGGTACAATGTGTGAAGCCCATTTCTGGTGTCCCCCGCCGTGGTATGGCTGGAATATTGCTAAAAGCGGCGTAAAACCATACTCACTCACTACAGTTGTGACAATATGAGTGAGTGTTTGGGTTTGACGCCGTTTTAACCTTTGCTCGGTATATCATGACGTGTCCATGACAATGATCCAGGAGAATCCTGTCACGGTTAAGGGAGACAACTCCGCATGCCCTAACCCCGCACACTTTATGTTGAAGGAGAATGGAACATAACATAAAATATTTCTGACAACGCTGAAAATATGCGTCAGTAATTACGTGATGTCGCTATCAATACACATGTGATACAGATTAATTTTGAAGGATTGCTAACTAATATAAAAACAGCCCAAAACGAGATCGTCATCTTTGAGATTTGATTTGAAAAGAAATAAACGTCATTCAGCATGACTGCCAAGAGGGGAGGGCAAACAATATGTGATGGCGTTGGAGATTTTACGTGCGCTTCTGCAGGATCCGACTTCGCACTCGGGCGACAAACGAGGGAACGACCAGCTTAAGACTCCAGTGTCATTCTCGCTTGTCCAAATGTGGGGGAGGATTAAAGTTATGCACCTAGTGTGTACAATATATACAAATCATAAGCTGCCATTTTTCCTCAATTAAGAGCCCGGGTCCATTTGATTTTTATAGTGGATGAGTGAGTGAGTAACCCCGCTTTGAACAGTAATCCAGTTATATCACGGCGTGTCAGCTTAATGTGGGAGGAAAGCCCGAAGTGATGCAGGTCTTAGACATTTACCACTTTGGTGAAACCCACGAGCACGGGTTTGGTGCTGACAAACCTAGAAACATAATCAGGGTGGAGCCACGATCACAGGTTTTTGGCCCCCGCGTGCCCTTATATTTGAAGATAAAAAGTTCTTGGACAAGGTGATTAAAGTGATGCAAAAATTCGTTTCTTGGCCAGACAATCCGGTGATTTATTCTTGCGCCCTTAAATTTGAAGATAGCAAACTTGTTGGACAAGGAGATGAAAGTGATACAAAAATTCGTGTCTTGGCAAGACAATCCGGTGGTCTATCCGTGCGCCCTTATATTTAAAGATAAATAAACCAAAAAACAAAACAAAACAAAAGCAACAAAAAAAAGCAAAAAAAACAAAACAAATTTGTTGGACAAGATGATGAAAGTGCCACAAGAAATTGTTATACGAATAATGTAATTGAACGAAAGGATAAACATTATTTTACATGTGTTATTTCTTTTACTCAGTATATAGTACAATTGTGACGTATCTAAGAGGGGTGCATCAGCTGCACGTGTATTACCTAAGGCACCACCCGGGGACGACGTGTCGTTGCTGGGGAAGGCAGCGAACATGGCACCTGAATATCATTAAAATAATTTCAGTTGAGTCACGTTATTGAGAAGCGAGTTAGTGAGTGAATGGTATTTTACGCCGCTATTGGCAATATTTCAGCAAAATCACGGCGCGGGGCACAAAAAATTTGCTCCTGCATTGTATGCATTCGGGGAATCGAACCCGGGCCTTAGGAGTGATGAACGAACGCTCCATCCACTAAGCTACCCCACCGCCCCGTTATTAATTCACAACAAAATATGCGATAGAATAAAACTGGTTCGAATCGTATGTTAACTGAGTGAGTATGATTTTACTCCGCTTTAAACAATATTCCAGCAATATCATGGCGGGGGATACCAGAAATGGGCTTCACACATCGTACCCATGCGGGGAATCGAACCCGGCTCTCGGCGTGACGATTTAACCACTAAGTTAGCCAGTCGCCCTTATGTTAACTGGGGGCGGTCGGGTAGCCTAGTGGTTAAAGCGTTCGCTCGTCACGACGAAGACCCGGGTTCGATTCCCGACATGGGTACAATTAGTGAAGCCCATTTCTTGTGTCCCCCGCCGTGATATTGCTGGAATATTGCTAAAAGCGGCGTAAAACCATACTAACTCTCCCGGTCACTCACTCACTCACTCACTCATGTTAACTGGGAGATAATTAGGTTATTTCGCGAGTGAATGAATTGAGATTACGTGTTCTAATAATCAGGTCAATTCGGAAATAAAACAGAATAACCGGAAGTACTTTGGGTAACACCAGGTAGTGAGTGAGTGAGTGAGTGAGTGAGTGAGGTTTAACGCCGCTTTTAACAATATTCCAGTTATATCACGGCGTGGCAGCTTAATGTGGGAGGAAAGCCCGAAGTGATGCAGGTCTCAGACGTTTACCACTTCGGTGAAACCCACGAGCACGGGTATGGTGCTGACAAACCTAGAAACATAATCGGGGCGAACCGGGATTCGAACCCACAATCATAGGTTTCTGGCGTGTCCAAGGGACGCAACTCTGCACAGCGAATCGCGGCGCCTTAGACCACATGGTCCATTTGGTCGTCTTTTAAAACCAACAGAGGGGACAATTCCAACCCGAAATCTCCACACATACGGGAACGGCTTATCTGTTCGTAAATCGGGAGTGAGTTAGCGAGTGAGAGAGTGAGAGTGAGAGTGAGTGAATGAGTGAGAGAGTGAGTGAGTGAGAGTGGGTGAGTGAGTGAGTGAGTATGGTTTTACGCCGCCTTTAGCAATATTACAGTGAGTTAGAGTGAGTGAGTATGGTTTTACGCCGCTTTTAGCAATATTCCAGCAATATCACGGCGGGGGACACCAGAAATAGGCTTAACACATTGTACCCATGTCGGGAATCGAACCCGGGTCTTCGGCGTGACGGGCCAACGCTTAAACCACTAGGCTACCCGACCGCCCCCCAGTGAGTTAGAATGGGTTTGTGAGTGAGTGAGTTAGGTTTAATACCCAATTCAATCCATTCAGTTTTATCACAATGTGTCCGCTTGATCGATGTATTTTTAATCGATCTCCTTTAACGCCGATTTCAACAGTATTCAATAGAATATTAATATATAGGAGAAAAAAAGAAAAAAAAAGTGATGCGGGTCTCAGACGTGAACCACTTTTGTGAAACCCACGAGTACGGGTATGGTGCTGACAAACCTAGAAACATAATCGGGGCGATTTGGGATTCGAACCCATATATCAATAGGCTATCTGAAGAAGAAACCCCACATTTCAATCTTCTATACGAATATTTGTTTGTGTTTTGTTGATAAACACAGCAGCAGGCAACATTCTTCAACGATTACAATGTGACGTTGGTGTCGCATCTATTCATAGCCATTGTTACCGATAATGGCCTTAAACCACAGTGTCTGAACAGGTCATTAATTATCGTACATGTAATGTATTGACACTCGCATCAATCCCATCAATCACCGCGGTCAGCTCGATCACGTGTCTGTCACGTGTCTGTCACATGACGTAACTGTTGTGACTCGCCTTCTTTCGAGTGCAGTTCATTTCAACTTCAGTCGACTACAGGAATTGTGGTGAGTTGGGTTTAACGCCGCTTTTAACAGTATTCCAGTTATATCACGGCGTGGCAGCTTAATGTGGGAGGAAAGCCCGAAGTGATGCAGGTCTCAGACGTTTACCACTTCGGCGAAACCCACGAGCACGGGTATGCTGCTGACAAACCTAGAAACATAATCGGGGCGAACCGGGATTCGAACCCACAATCATAGGTTTCTGACGTGCCCAAGGGACGCAACTCTGCACAGCAAATCGCGGCGCCTTAGACGACTGGGCCACCCGTGCCCCCGGAATTGTGGTGAGGTCGGGTGATTCGACAACACTCAGTTAATCCCATCCATAAAATTAAAAATTGAAATAATGTCGAATAATTTAAAACATCCCGCCCGGGAGTAACTCAGTAAACAAAGGGAAGCAATCTTTGAATAAAACAATTATTTAAAAGCTTAGCTACCCCTTCTCCTGAATCGTCACTCCTATACCGGTCAGTTATTTTAGCATAAAAACATTAAACAACTGAACGTGCCGAGGATGTGTCTTACTAATAACAACAAAAATATTTTTAATGAATACGCAATGACATTTAGAAAGTGGTCAAATGTAACAAATGTTCTATTTGGGATAACACTTTCTTAGAAAAGAACAGATTCTAGTAATTTTATTGGGTTGAGTCCCATCCGGGATTCGAACCCACAGTCTCAGATTGAGGCACGCAATCGCAAGCACACTAACTCAGCATTCTAACCCACTCAGCCACCAAGATCTAACCCACTCAGCCACCAAGATCTAACCCACTCAGCCACCAAGATCTAACCCACTCAGCCACCAAGATCTAACCCACTCAGCCACCAAGATCTAACCCACTCAGCCACCAAGATCTAACCCTCTCAGCCACCAAGATCTAACCCACTCAGCCACCAAGATCTAACCCACTCAGCCACCAAGATCTAACCCACTCAGCCACCAAGATCTAACCCACTCAGCCACCAAGATCTAACCAACTCAGCCACCAAGATCTAACCCACTCAGCCACCAAGATCTAACCCTCTCAGCCACCAAGATCTAACCCACTCAGCCACCAAGATCTAACCCACTCAGCCACCAAGATCTAACCCACTCAGCCACCAAGATCTAACCCACTCAGCCACCAAGATCTAACCCTCTCAGCCACCAAGATCTAACACACTCAGCCACCAAGATCTAACCCACTCAGCCACCAAGATCTAACCCACTCAGCCACCAAGATCTAACCCACTCAGCCACCAAGATCTGACCCACTCAGCCACCAAGATCTAACCCACTCAGCCACCAAGATCTAACCCACTCAGCCACCAAGATCTAACCCACTCAGCCACCAAGAATATTTATTTACACTTATAAGAGTTCATAGCCAAGGATTACCTAAGAGATTTTGTAAACATATTTTTGAAAAAATCCACTGGTGAGTCAATTAATTGTCAGGAGATGTGTTGTGAAGAACTTTTTAAAACTGCATATGTAGAGCATGTTGCGTACCAGCGAGGAGGAAGACAGGTGATTCTAAATACACTCTTCAAACGCATAGGTGTTTTGAGAATTCCAATTAAATTTCTTTGCACAATGCACGTGCATTACAGTTCATCATCAGTTCATTACGAATTTTCTGACGTGAACGGAGATCGAAAAATGCCAATTATAAAAAAAAAAAAATAAAAAAAAATATGCCAAGATTAACTGCAGCTGACCGAAATATCGCCACTGGACGTTTGGAAGCAGGGGGGTCCCAGTCTGCAGTTGCAAGACACTTCAACGTTCACCAAAGCACAATATCTCGATTATGGAATCGATATGCTCGCACTTATTCGACTCAAGATCATCCAAGAAGTGGAAGACCAAGAGTGACCACCCCTGCTCAGGGTCGGTACATCCGGTTGCTTTTGTCCATCACTGTGTCTAATTCCATTTGATTGTGTTCCCGCAAATGTAGATACTTTAACATCCGCTTAATGACCCGTGAAGATTCCGGGGTACAATAGGTCTTCAGCAACCCATGCTTGCCGTAAAAGGTGACTATGCTTGTCGTAAAAGGTGACTAACGGGATCGGGTTGTCAGGCTCGCTGACTTGGTTGATGCATGTAATCGATCCCAATTGCGTGGATCGATGCTCATGATGTCAATCACTGGATTGTCTGGTCCAGACTCGATTATTTGCAGACCGCCGTCATATAGCTGGAATATTGCTGAGTGCGGCGTTATGCAGTATGACTGACCACATTTAACTGTGTCTTGGGTATATTTTTAGATGCAAGACATATGTAAAATCAAAAAATATTTCTGAGTGATTCTTTGCCGAAGAACTTGAAATCATACGCGCATTCTGATTGGTTTGTCGTATTTTCGCACATAACATTCATCGATAGGGGGACGAGTCTTCTTGCAGGTTACGGAAAGGGGCGAGTGGTGACGAATGAAACCGAGTGGGCCCGAGTGGTAACGAATTGAATCGAGTGGGCCCGAGGTAAAGAATAAGGCCGATTGAGCCGATTGTTATATTACCTGCTGCGTCTGTGGGTTCCACTTCAAGCAATTCGTCTACGGTGGGGGATAAGGAACTCATAGGGACGCTGCACATCCCCTGTCTGTTGCGCCTCACCTCCCGTCCGGGACGGGCCAGGGTATTGTTTTGAGAATGTCTTCGGATTGCCAACATGTTGCATGGAATATAGGCCATCTGCAAAATAAATACGTGGAGCGGTTTCAGTGAGTGAGTGAGTATGGTTTTACGCCGCTTTTAGCAATATTCCAGCAATATCACGGCGGGGGACACATATTGTACCCATGTTGGGAATCGAACCCGGGTCTTCGGCGTGACGAGCAAACGCTTTTACCACTAGGCTACCCGACCGCCCCGTGAAGCGGTTTCAACACAAAGGTGAATTAATCATTGATAGTACAGAACTGTGGGGATTCCAGGTTAGAATTGGT